GAAAGCTGGGAACCTGGGATTTCAAGGGAATGTTCCCTATCCATGTATAGCGTGGATAATTCACTTGCCGATACTCGGGTCAACATGTACAAGAGGTTTCAAGCGAGCGGAATTTCGAGTGATCTTATTACAGCACGGCAAAAACGCATGATCGCACGGGCCCGCCGGTGCGCGTCGCCAATGATTTTATTGTTCAATATGAGGCAACAGTTGCACTGACAAGGTCCAGTTGTGGTGCTGAATAGGAATGTGTGCGCCTTGATTGACCAAAGCATTCCTGTTCCATTGATTGATTTTTTATATTTTATTTTTTATTTTGTCATCACAAATTCATAAAAATATAGACAGTAAAAGCATTGAGTACCATTTTGGGGCATACAGCTTACGACAGAACGAGTTGGCATAGTTACGTAGGGTGTATAAAAGCATTCCAGCAACACCAGATCCCTAAACTGATTGTTCATGGTGCTGTCACTAATACGCAGGAATTTTAAACGCTAAAACAAGCAATCCCTTCTTCCGAATTCATCTGGTTGCGCTGACTAATCATTCAGGAATGTGTAGTTTTTCGTCCATTTTAATTCAAAAGTAATTAATTTCTTGTTGATCTAGAAACAGGATTACGAGTTCTAACGCTTTGGAGAATCCAAAAAAAAAATTAAGAATGTGGGAAACCATTTTAACTTTCCATAGAGCTTTGCTTGAATACACCTGATTTGTTCCGTTAGCTTCTTAATGGACATCGTTAATTTGCCTCATTTTGAGGGAAATATTCCACTTGAATCGATTTTCCTGGCTTCTTTTTTTTCTTGTCATGTGGTCGATGTGAGACTACAACTTCTATTAAATTTGATTTTTCTCTTATGCAGCTGTTTTCGTTAATTCTCCTTGAAAAGTGCTTAAAAGGGAAGGCTTTCTAAAGGAGCAATTCTAATTCATTCCTGAAAGCACGGGCCAAACAGGCTTTTTTTGTCTTCTGTTGCCCACCAAATTTAAAGTCTTGACTTTTCCCCGTGTTTTTTTGTCCAGGATTCTTGCTATCCAGATTCTGAATCACTGCGGCAATAGAAGATACTGAACAGGGTTTTCTACTGATTCAATTTTTGAGGTTATGCTGAGGAACCGGGAATTCCAATATTTGAAAATTCCGTTCATTATCGATGACGTTTATGATCTTGATTATCAATCTGAAGAATATTAAAATAACCGCAGAAGCAATCCTGCGAAATTCTTGCCTATAGGAAAAACTTGATTGCACGAATGCTTATTTAGTATGAAAAATGCAAAAAATAAAAAATAAACCTTCGAGACCTGAGGAATCGTAAAAGTCAAAAAAAAAGCCCCATCCGCATTCATTCTTTATGAGAGGTGAAAGCATTCGGAAGTTTTTGGAGGGTAACAAATAAAGCTAGCTATCGATGGCTGTCGACCAATAGTTAGTATGGCTGTCGGTGATTTCCTCTTTCAAAGATTGCTCAGAAATAAGATGATGGCAGTTGTAAAATCAAAAGTACTAGAAGTTTTAGTGAAAAATCAAAGAGTTGAAACCACCGCTGAATCTGTTCTTCCAGATGTTTCCATTAGCTTAGCGGGGTATTTAACTAAAAAGATTAAAAGTATTTAAATAAAAAAAGCAGCAAAATATGTTTTCTTTCAAGGCATAAAAATAATTGACAAATAAAAGTGAAGGCTGAATAACTTTTTTCCCTATAACTGAGACGCCTGAGGATCCTTGCGATGCAATAAATTATGTATTAGCCGAATGTATGGCCTGCCAATATTGCAGTGTAAATATGGTGAAGGATCGGATGTCGCATGAGCGGTACATGCAGTTCATGGAAGAAGCCGGCAATCGTCCGGCCTGTAACAATAATGAGGAACCAGCAGAACAGCAAAACCGCGGCGACTGGGAGAAATGGATGAGGGAACAGCCTATCAGCGTGCTTCGTCTGGATCGAACCGAACGGCTCGTCTTGAGAATTGGAGGTACCATGTTTTTTAATGCAATATTCATTAAGGCCAGGGCGATCGTGATATTTGTAGCGACCAAAAAGAGGGAGAAAGGAAAGGCAAAATCACTGGGCATGATGGAAATTCGAGTGCTTGGGGCGGCTGAATTTAGCTGAAAGGTACCAGTTTTGCACCGAACGATGATTGGTAGATTCAAGGGGAGTCAAATGCTACCCTTGTTTTGTATCCAGGGGAAGGAATATTGCATGTGATTATCCGAGGATATTAGTGAGACATGTGGAGGAAAATGGCCAGGGGCGTTAAAATTTGGCTGCTAGGCAGTTTTTTCTTTCTACATGCACATTTGCTTCTTATGATTTAATGTTAGCAAACAATTCAACCATTTCTAATAATTCCAAGTTTTCTCCTGATTGTCTTCTTTCTCAAATTTTCTTCAAAATCTTCAAAATCAATAATCTTCTGAAGTTCGAAATTCAGAATTCCTGCTATCGAGGGCTTTGCCTCCAAATCCTTTGCAACATAAATAAAATTCACGTGATACATTCAGAAGTAGTAATTTGAGAAATCTGACACAAGCTTTACTTTTTACGAAGATTTCTTTAGCAACTCTCTACCGATAGACCACGAGGAAAATCCATTTTGCATAGCAGATATCTAACAAATTCCTGAAATGTTTATCAAGCTGCTGTCGTTTTTCGTCGTAATTTTTTTTTTCTTCAATTTGATTATCGAAATTAATCGCCTGGATTCTGAATATATTTGTGTTGATTTATTTCACTGCGAACGCTCAGTGCCTGCTCCTTGATTTTAATCCAGTTTCGGGCAAATTTAAAAAAAGAGTTGAAACTTCAAGATTTTCCAATCATAGTTTTTTGATTTTCATTAAAATTTTTCCGTCAACTTCACTAATAATTCATAAAATGCAGGTGCTAGAATTTCCAGGATCAAATGTTGAAACAAATGTTACTCCGAGCAAAATTCTTTTCACCGTCTTCTGTCCACTTTTCTAAAAAGTTAATTTCACAATTTCTTAATTTCTTAAGTTCTTAAGATTGTCATTTCACATAGACAGCCGTGCTACTCGTACAATTACTCTTGTCTTAATTTTTTTCAAGTTCTTTTTTTATAAATTTATGTCTTCTGGTCATCCATTTTTCCCATAATTTATAAGTATACTATTAATGAAACTCGTATTTTCAATCTTCTATTAAAATTTTCGAGGGTTACTTTATGTTTTGCGGTAAGCAAGAGGTTTTTCCCCGCTTTTCGGTTACCCAAGATTTGCTTTTGAGCAATAAAAAGAAGTGCAGAAGCTATGCATTATTCTTTTATTCCTTACACGATGGAATACGTCATGGGGGATGGGTCCTCAGCATTTTGAAATATGCAGATTTATTGTACTGAGTGGAATAGCTTGCATCCATTGCCTTTTGTCAATGCGGTGTCTCCTAGCTTTCTTCGCTTTTTTTCTACGCAAATTATTTCACTTTAAAAAATAAGCCATATTTTTGCAAATTAAAAATTATTGTCTTGCACATTAGAACCCAGGCTGGAACGCACCAGGCTGTCCCGTGCGATCATGCGTTTTTGTACTAAACTCACAGGTTGCTATTAGTAGGATGTTCCCTACGCTGCAGCCTAACATTTGGGCTCATATTGGCCGTGCTTTGATCCTTTCCAGTATACAGGAGGAAGGGCGTCAGTTGGGATGAAGGTTGTGCATTATAGAGCCGCACGGACATTCAGGTGCA